CCAGCCCACCCCCCTTTGCCTTCTCTCCGCTATGTCCTCTCTGGAGCAGTGCAGCGTACAGAGTGCAGAGTGCAGCAGCTGCCTGTTGAATCCCCTCCAAGAACGTTTCTTTCTTAAATCACCCTTCTCTCCGAGCCCTTTCCTCCCCCTCCCCCTTCCCCCCCTTCTTCTCCTCCCAGATTTGCGTGCCTGGAGCCGAAAAGGGTGTCAGAAAAAAAACACCTTTCCTTTCAATCCCCCCTCCCATCCTCATCTCTCCCCTCCCTTCATCGCTGCAGAGGCTACCTGGAGGAACAACCTTCCGTCTAACCCCCGGTCCTGTTGTTTACCCGCCTCGCCTTCCTTTCCCCTCCCTCCCCAGGATGGCGTGCCTGGAGCCGGGCACGCTGCCGCGCAGCACCTGCCTACTGATTTTCCTCACGAGAAAAACAGCCTGCCCGCCAACCCTCCTGTCCCAATCATTCCCCTCTTTTCCCCCCTCCTCCCTGTTCTCGCCTCTCAGACTGGCGTGCCTGGAGCCGCACAGGGTGGAGGGAGCACCATCCCCTCGAACCCCCCCACCCATCCTCCTCTCTTTCCTTACTCCCCACTCCCCCCCCCCCCCCCCCTCTTCCTCTCCCCGCCCCCTTCATCGCCTCCCAGAATGGCATGCCTGGAGTCGGGCAGGGTGCAGCGACTGCCTGTTGGAATCTCATCTGGACAAAAAAACTCATCGGCTAATCCCCTGTTCCTGTTGTTCCCCCTCCCCTCTCCCCCCTTTCACCCCGCGTTTTCCTCTCTTTCTTTCTCTCAGAATGGCCTGCCTGGAGCCGGGCAGGGTGCAGCGGCTGGTGCTGGCGGGGTCAGGGCTGATGACGTCAGCAGAGGAGCACGCAGCGGTGCTGGGCGAGTGGCAGGTGGCGCACATAGCGGAGCTGCTGCTGCCCGATGACCCCCAGGGCGTGCAGCGCCTCATGCACCTCGCCTATGCCCACGAGGCGCCTGCTCTTCCTGCCTGGGTGCTGCGCTCAACTCACGAGGTGGGTGGTGTTGGGGAAGAGAGTAGGGGGGGGGGGGGGGGTGGGCGAGTGACAGATGGGCTGCTGCTGCCCGATGAGCCCCAGGGCGTTCAACGGTTGGTGCACCTCGCCTATGCCCATGATGCTCCTCGCCGATGCCCATGATGCACCCGCTCTTCCTGCCTGGGTGTTGCGCTCTACTCATGTAGGCGATCTCCCTTGTTCTCATCACCCGTAGCATTCCTTCTGTCCTTCCCACTCGCTCCCTCCTCGTTGGTTCCTCTCCTATCCATGCGCCATGTGCGCGTGCATTTTCGTTATGGCAGGCCCTGTTTGACAACAAAGAGGAGAAGCTCGCCATGCTGGACGCAGTGCTCATGTACCTCTCCCAACCGGGCCTCGATGGAACGGGCCTCGATGAATCGGGCCTTGATCAAGCGAGGCCGAATGGAACGACGACTAATAGTGGGACGGCCATGAGGGATGAGGGCGTGGGTGAAACGGGTGTGAATGGGCGTGAGGGAAGGGGCGAAGGGGAGAGCAGGAGGGAGAGTGGCGCACGTGCGTTGCCAGGCCTCGACGCGCTTGACATCCCGGTGCCTCCAGTGGTGGGTGTGTTGTGTTGTTGTACCCGGAATTGCGAGTGCACCACATGTTTGTTCGTGGAAGGGCATGACACACACACATGACCTGGCAGGTAGCTGCTGTGCCCCACATGCACTTGCCTCGCTTTTGATGTGTTTCCCGCATGGGTTTCCACATTTTGAGAAATTTCCAAAATGACTTGCCTCGCGTTTGATGTGTTCTCCTCGCATAAGATTCCACACGTCTCGCTTTGTTTGTACCACTCCCCACCTCTCTTTTTCTCCCCATCCCACCCCACCCCAACCCCACACCACACCACGCCATGCCTTGCCTCACGACCACACCACACCACACCACACCGTGCCATTCTGTGGCTTGCAGGAGACTCTTCTGGTGTGGGGCAGCCGGGATTCCATCTTTCCTCTCTCCGGGGCGCACCGCATGCACAGGTGGGGTAGTGGGTGTCTGTAAATGCTCGAGTTAGGGCGTGAGGGGTGCGAGCATGCACAGGTGGGGTAGTGAGGGGTGCAAGCATGCACAGGTGGGGTAGTGAGGGGTGCAAGCATGCACAGGTTGGAGCATGTGATGCCATGCTCATGTAATGGCATGCTCATGTAATGCCATGCACATGTAATGCCATGCACATGTAATGCCATGCACACATAATGTCCTACACTTGTAATGCTGTGCACATGTAATGCCGTGCACACGTAATGCCATGCGCATGTGATGCCATGTTTTTGTGATGCCATGCTAGTGTGATGCCATGCTAATGTGATGCCATGCTCAAGTAATGCTGGTCATGGGATGGGCGGTTGCCTTGGAAGGTCGTGGGGGTGACCATGGGAGGGGGGATCGTGGTGAAGCTGTCTTGAAACGGTGTTAAGGATCGCATGAGTTGCTTTGTTGATCTGAGCAGCAGATATTTTCAACCATGAATATTTCTTTGTCCCAGTGCAGCCACCCCAGTGCAGCACCCTGCCACTTTTCAGAATCATCCAACTGCTTCCGCTTTTGCACTACCTACACACACACCCCCCACTCCCCCCATCATGTCCCCCCATGACTGCCGTAACTGTTCCTTGGCAGTCACTTTGGCCCCGTCGCATCATTAGAGGTGCTGGAGGGAGCATCACATGCTCTCAACATCCATCGACCAAAGCCCTTCAACGATGCTGTCATGCGGTTCCTTCTCGATGGGAGAAATGTCGACTCACAATCAAATGCATAAATACGTATTTCAAACCCATTGTTTTCCTTTTTTTTGTTAACATGGTTTGCTCCAGTTTTACCAGTACTTTGAATGGCTCCTGACAAAAGGTTTAAGCTCTGAAGATTGTACAGTAAATATTCAAGGAACTGTCGAGGTGGTGTGTGCTTAGGCCCTCATTGACGAACAATCTTCACGTTTTCGCTCAATTCGGCTGTCCCAGGAAACTGTCTTCACCACGTTAGCCCTGGCACGGTAGCTTTCGCCGCAACTGGTTGCGCAGTTTCCTGTGGATTCACTATTTGTGACAGGCATTACGAGAGATGCCCTGCCACAAGCGCGCCCTCGAAGTTGGTTCTTTACAATGATGTGACACGAGAAGAATACCGCGTTTCATGCTACCAAACATTATTATTCGTCACAAGTTAGCTGCATTCGCCGAATTCCAGTTATCCAGCTTGCGTGACACGCGCTATTCCCCGCCTACACCGCACAAACGTTTGAACTCATTGATTACAGGCAGCCGAGCCGACGCTTTAAGATTCCGCCGTATGTCACCCGCTAACTGACGCACGCCATTCTCGTGCGCGGCGGGCCATTCTCGTGCGCGGCGGGCTCGTTCTCCTCGAAGTCTGTTGCAGCGACGTATTTCACTCGTCGCCGTTGTCCTTATCAAAATATGAAAGCCGTCGCAATATGTCGCTCGCCGATGCCGCCGCTCCTCCTGGTCGCCGCCGTCGCGCTCCTTGCGACGTCGCTCGCGCGGGCCGTCGCCGACGCAACGAGCGACAGGTGAGGGCGGCGGGGTGCTGGAGGGAGCGGCGGGGTGCTGGAGGGAACGGCGTGGTGGGCAGGAGGGACGAGAGGGAGGACGGGGATGGGGGAAAGAATCTCATCCCACATCCCTTGCATCTCTCACCCCATTCCTCACCTTCCCCCCACCTTTTCCCCCAGGTCTCCCCACACCTTCCCCTTCATCTCTACTCTCACCTCTCCCCTCCCCCAGCCCGCCCCGCCAGCCCATAACACTGGCGGGTGGTAACCACCTCTACTTCACCCCTTTCCCCCCTCCTCCCTGTCATCCCAGTTCATCCCGCCAGCCCATAACACTGGCGGGTGGTAACCACCTCTACTTCACCCCTTTCCCCCCTCCTCCCTGTCATCCCAGTTCATCCCGCCAGCCCATAACACTGGCGGGTGGTAACCACCTCTACTTCACCCCTTTCCCCCCTCCTCCCTGTCATCCCAGTTCATCCCGCCAGCCCATAACACTGGCGGGTGGTAACCACCTCTACTTCACCCCTTTCCCCCCTTCTCCCTGTCATCCCAGCCTATCCCGCCAGCCCATAACACTCGCAGGTGGTAACCACCTCTTCACCGGCGCGTGCGGCACGCGCTTCTCCTTCGCCGGGTGGCGGGACAAATCGTTCTGCGTGCTGTCTGCCGCCCGCCTGCACGTGAACGCGCGGCTGCGCGGGTACGAGGCGATGCGGCCGCCGCTGGCTGGTTTGGGGCCGGATGGTGGCATGGGCATGAGCCGAACGTGGATCAAGTAAGCTGGAGAGGTGTGGTGCGGTGGAGAGGGGTGTAATGTGCTGGAGGTAGGATGACGGCATGGGCATGAGCCGAACGTGGATCAGGTGAGGTGGAAGTGTGTTGCGGTGGAGAGAGGTGGAAAGGGGTGTGTTGTTGAGGGCCCATTCAGACGTGCTTGGGACGGCTGCACGTGAGCGCGCGGCTGCGTGGATACGAGTCGATGCGGCCGCCTCTGGCTGGTCTGGGGCCAGATGGCGGCATGGGCATGAGCAGAACGTGGATCAAGTGAGTGGGAAAAATGTGGTGGAGAGGGGTGGATAGTGGTGGAGAGGAGTATGTTGTTGACGCCCCTTCAAATGTGCTGTTGCCCGTTGGCTGCAAGGGCATGAAGAGAGCATGGATAAAGTGAGGGAGGTGAGAGTAACGATGGAGAGGAGTGAAGAGGTTTGGAGAAGGGTGTCTGAAAATGGGCTGGTGGCGGATGGTGGCATTGGCATGAGCAGAACGTGGATCGGGCGAGGGAGAGATGCGGTGGCGTGGGTGGAGAAGTGTGGAGAGGAGTGCAGAGGGGTTTGCTGTTTAGGTACCGCAAACTGGGCTGGGGGAGGATGGTGGCGTGGGCTGGAGAGGTTGTGAGGATGGGCATACCTCATGGGCAGAACGTGGATCAGGTGGAGAGGGGTTGGAGAGTGGCGGAGAGTGGTGGATAGCGGTGGAGACGGGATGGTCTGGACGCGGGCCAATGGAGGGCAAGGGTTAGAGGTGGTTATGTAGGGTTGGAGGGTTGCTGGGAGGGAGGCATGAGGTGAGTGCTGGTGCAGGAAGATGGGGTTGGGGATGCGGGAAGATGGGTTTGGGAATGCGGGATGAGGAAGGGATGGAAAGGGCCAGCTGATTCGGGCGTGGGTACCAGTGCAAGCTGCAATTTGGGTACCAGTGCAAGCTGCAATGTGGGTACCAGTGCAAGCTGCAATGTGGGTACCAGTGCAAGCTGCAATGTGGGATCCTGAAATCCGCATGAAACCGCAGAGGTATCCGCCGCCCCGCCAGGACCTGCCTGCCAGGTATCCCCACATGACGCCTCCTCGATGGGCACCTGACGAGGTGAATCACCATGCGCCTTCCCAGTTCCCTCTCTGTCCCTGAGTTATCCCACAGAGAGCTGGGCGTGCTGTGGGCCGTGCCCAACCGCAAGGACCCCCGTCGCCCCACCCACCCACACGGCACCGCCTGCTGACACGCAGGGGGGGCTGCACCCCAAGCGCCAGCAGTCCGCCCCGCCCTCGCCCTCCCTTTCTAGAGACAAATAATCAGTTCCCTTCTCTCCCCACTTCCTTTTCCCTTTTCTTCGCCATCCACACCACAACACCCCCCCCCCCCCTTCCCCCCCTTCCTTTCCTTTTGCCGTGTGCACGTGCACCCACAGGGAGCTGGGCATAATGTGGGCTGTCCGCAATCCCAAGGACCCCCGCCGCCCCACCATGCACCGCCTGCACCTCGTGGCGCGCAGTGGCAAGCTGCACCCCAAGCGCCGCCAGTCCGCCCCGCCTGCTGCCAGCAAGGGCAAGAAGGGCAGCGACGCCGCTGTGAACGTCACCGCTGAGCCGTTTCTGCTGCGCGTGGCGTATAACAACAAGCAGCTGGCTGTGCCGTTTGTGATGGGGGAGGTGGTGGAGGGCGGGGGAGGGAGTGTGCTGGCGACAAACGGGAGTGGGTATAGTGCGGGGGTGAGCAGTAGCAGTGGGTGGATGGCTGAGGTGGGGGGTCGGGTGGAGGATGGGAGAGGGATTGGCAGCTGCGGCGGCAGTGGGGAGAGGGATGGGTGCAGTGGGTTTACTCTGCGGTTGGAGGAGGTGGAGAAATTCGGCCAGTTTGCCGTCGAGCGGTACGAGCTGGCGGTTGCTGACGTGGCACGGATGATCATACGCGCACGCGTGGCGCATCCAATGCTGCAAACCCCGACAGACTCACAGGCGCACTTCAGTGTGGAATTTCTTCTAGTGGATTCCACTCCAGGCATGCATGGGGTGCTGGGGCAGACCTACCAGCAGGCACCTGAGAGGGCGGCACGGGTGGCAGGGGTGGTGGAGAGAGCGAGGAAGACGGGGCTTCCCGTGATGACTGATGAGGAGGCTGGGAAGGGGTTTTTGGATGGGGAGGTGGGGGATTATGAGTCGACCCACATTGGGGCGCCCAATTGTAAATTCACGCGGTTCGGCAAGAAGTGAGGCTCGGTAAGAAATGAGGTTTGGCAAGGAGAGGGGTTAGGGTGCGTCAGATCCGCTACAATGTGATTTGGCTGTAAATTTGTCGCCCTTTTGGTCGACTCCTTTTTTCGCCAAAGTCGACCGAATGGTCGAATGCTAAACCGACCACCATCCAGCCACATTTACAAGGTGTTGAAATCTGACAGATTTGGTGGCCGATTTACAGGCCGGTTTGCAAAAGTTTCAGATTTGCAGGTCGCACAGTTGGCCGGATTGTGCGACGGAGTCGCACGTATTGTTACTGAAGTGACACAACCGCTATTGTGCACACTACGATCAGGGAGTCAAGATGTGAGCTGCGGCTCCATTTACGACCCGGCTCGGCGAGATCGTGTCGACTACCCGAACTGAGTGTGACGAGAGCATACAAAAACCGGAACGTCCCTACACTCTAGCCATTATCCAACATGGCGGATCCTTTCACACCCAGATGGGCACGACGTTTAGCAATCGGACTCACGCACGTTGTGCTCATCCCCTTGGTCGCTGCAGTCGGTGTCATGGTGCCCTTGCTCCTTGACTTTGTTGACGAGAGCGATTACCAGGTGTTCTGGCGAAATGACCGAAGTATGAAACGAGCGCGTTGGATGGACCGCTTCTTGCACATGTCCCCAGACCACCTATACGAAACACTGCGAGTTGATCGTGACGTATTCGGTCACCTCGTGTCGCACTACACAAGTGTGACCCCGAAAACTGGTCATGTTCAACGGCGCTGCCGTGCGAGTCGTCCTTGTGACACGTTGAGTTGCTTGGGTATATTGGCCAAGTCGCATAGGTATTGTAGTGCTGACGAGTTGACAAAGTGGTCGACTCTCGATTCGTTTGCACGTCGGAAAGTTGTCGAATGCTAAACCGGCCATCAAAATTTTAGCAAGTGGCCGGATTGTGCGAAATTAACGATATACCTTACGAATGTCGTGAATGTGTAACCTTCGCTAGATCCGGCCGGCCGGATTTTTCCGACCAATGGATCTGACGCACCCTTAGGTAAGGTAAGCACGGAGGTTTGATGAATAGGGAAGGCCGGCAAGCAGAAAGAGAAGGTCGGGTCAGCCAGCAGTAACGATTTGTTGGCAAGCTGGGAGGCATACATACCACATGAAGAGCAGCAGAATAGGGCTGGATAGTCTTTGTTGTCTGCTGTACTATGGTTTAGTCTGGAGTGAACCGGGTAACAGGGCGGTACCTTCTGTCTTCCAAGGCGGTCCTTATTGTACTGTATGGGTGAAGTGCTAATTTTTTTTTCTGGCGTGTGGGTTCTGTTTGGGTTATAGAAAGAAAAGATGGGTAAGTGTTCCGTATTGCCGTACCTGTCATTTAGTGTTGCCCGCCCGTCGATGGTGTAAGTCAAAGTGACAAGGTCCATGAATGAGTGTCGTATAATGTTTCTCTGAAGTTTTTTCTTTAAAAGTCCTCAGAAAATACCAGTTTCTGGTTTTGGATACATTATGGCAAATCATTCTAGTGTCTACGATCAATCTTCGAAAATGGGAGTGTTCTTGTGAAATGAATAAGCTGTATACAACAGTTCATGGATAAAACCCATAACATTTTACATCACGAGAAGCGAGACACTCTTTACGAGCAAACTTTGTGCGTTCTCAAGATCGCCGTGCAATTCCAAATCCCACCATACTTACAGATCCCGTCAGCTTCCCGTCGCATAACCACCGAATTCGTTGGCGGTTCGCTGTCGCGTCGCCCGCCGCCCTTCGCGCCACGCTTCCTTTTTCAATCGCATCTTGCAAGCGACAGCCTAGATCGGGCCTCGCGTGAGCAAAGTACTCATTTCTGCATCGTGCCGCTGCGGCGTTCGAAGGAAGCAGCCATGACTCTCAAGGGTGGGTGGAGCCGCATCGATCAGCCGTGCTGGCAAAGTCTTCTTTGCACCCACAGTCTTCTGTCCGTCGCGCTCAAATCAGATCCGCTGGATGGGATTTGCAGCGACTTTGCAAGATACCATCAAAAGACTGCAAAATAATTTAGAATCGTCAAGCTTCCAGTCCCGTCGGGTTCTGGATTAGCTCGAATTCGAAAAAATCGCATTCAGCCCGCGTTGTTGCGAGCAGGTCGAGACCCGCGAATGACTCGCTATAATCACATGGAGAGCTGTTAGGCGGAACTTTGATGCCTCTCTGATGGCCGCCACGTGGCACACAAAGTCGCAGATCCGTCGCTTTTCGTCAGCCTGTCCTCTTCCACACCCTTCCTCTTCTACACCCTTCCTCTTCCCGGAAGAGACGATTTCTCACTCGCTGCTTACTCTCCGCGTCTTCTCCTCGAAGTACACGCCCTCCAATGGCATAACGAGGCAGATCAATGAAGTAGGATGCTTTCGGCGCCCACGTTTCCCCCCCCACCTCCTTGTCCGCGCGTCGCGAAAAGGATCCTCTCCCGAAACACTGGAACCACTGCGCGAAACGGATGTAACCGGAGCCGCTGGGTGGCCTTCGTGAAAGTTCGCCGAGGATACAACGCGATACCCGATCCTTTCTAACTCTCCCCATACCCTCTCCCCTTCCTCCCTCCCCCCCCCCGGCGCACCCATCCCCACCTCCCCCTCTCCCCCTTCATCCCCTTCCTTCCCCGTCCACCGCACACGGACATCCCTCAGCGATAGCGCAAGGGGCGCTTCGCCTTTCAGGATTGACGCCAGTGGACTCCTCTGGTCGTCCCTCGCCCCCCCCAGCCCCCCCTTTCCCTCCCCCTCCCCAACCTTGTGTGCCCCTTGTTCATTATTCCCCTTCTTGACTCCCACGTGCCTTTTCAGCCGTCAGCCCTTCCCTTCCCGTCTCAGACCCTCACCGGAGCCGCCCGTCCTGACTGGCGCCCGTTTGAACCTCTCAAAAACCTCATTTCTCAACTCCTCCTCAAACCCTAGCAGTGAGCGTGAAGTGGCAGAAGGAGGTGTTTGCAGGGGTGGAGATCGACACACAGCAGCCGCCCCTAGTGTTCAAGGGGCAGCTCTACGCGCTCACTGGCGTGCCGCCCGACAGGCAGAAGATCATGGTCAAGGGCGGCCTGCTGCAGGTGCGATATGGTGCAGGTACTATCTGGTGCAGGTGTTATCTGGTGAAGGCGACTCATGCTGGTCTTCAAGGGGCATCTGAACGCGCTCTCAGGGGTGCCTCCTGACAAGCACAAGTTGGTGGTTAAAGACGGGCGGCTGTAGGTGCTTTCTACGGATGGGCGGGTGTTTGCATCTGAGACCTGGAAAATCCCTTCACCTGATGCACCGTCTTCTCATTCTTTGGTACCTTTGAGAATCCTCAAATGTGACTGACCCTGTGTTGTGTTTCCCCCCCTGCGTTGGCTGTCTGGACTGTGCTGGCTGTCTGGACTGTGCTGGCTGTCTGGACTGTGCTGGCTGTCTGGACTGTGCTGGCTGTCTGGACTGTGCTGGCTGTCTGGACTGTGCTGGCTGTCTGGACTGTGCTGGCTGTCTGGACTGTGCTGGCTGTCTGGACTGTGCTGGCTGTCTGGACTGTGCTGGCTGTCTGGACTGTGCTGGCTCTGCGTCTGCTGCTGCGTGTCGTTGCAGGACGATGCTGATTGGTCGAAGCTGGGCATCAAGGAGGTGAGTGTCTCTGTCATGCTCTTGGGACTGCTAGAGCTGAGATGTGATTTTCTCGAAAGGGAGGGTTTAAGATATGAGCCTGCTGATTTGAGAGAGAGAGTGTAATTTGTGATTCCATCGGAAAAGTGGACAGGGAGAGTGGATCAGGAGGTTTGGGATTCACAGCTGGCCACACTGTTTGCAGTTTGATCCTTATGTCACCCGTCCGTCCCAGGTTCCACCCGCATGTTTTTTATTGTTCACCCACACATGTCACCTACTCCTCTCCCACATGCAATGATGCGGTGGGCCAGCGTCTGATGATTATGATGATGGGCACGGCAGGCGCAGCTCCAGTGGCGCCCACCCAGCACGTCACCTATTCCCCACACCTACTTTTGAGTTGACTCAAAACGAGGTGACTTTTGAGTCGACTCAAAACGAGGTGACTTTTGAGTCGACTCAAAACGAGGTGACTTTTGAGTCGACTCAAAACGAGGTGACTTTTGAGTCGACTCAAAACGAGGTGACTTTTGAGTCGACTCAAAACGAGGTGACTTTTGAGTTGACTCAAAACGAGGTGACTTTTGAGTCGCCTCAAAACGAGGTGACTTTTGAGTTGACTCAAAACGAGGTGACTTTTGAGTCGACTCAAAACGAGGTGACTTTTGAGTCGACTCAAAACGAGGTGACTTTTGAGTCGACTCAAAACGAGGTGACTTTTGAGTCAACTCAAAACGAGGTGACTTTTGAGTCGCCTCAAAACGAGGTGACTTTTGAGTCGACTCAAAACGAGGTGACTTTTGAGTTGACTCAAAACGAGGTGACTTTTGAGTCGACTCAAAACGAGGTGACTTTTGAGTCAACTCAAAACGAGGTGACTTTTGAGTCGCCTCAAAACGAGGTGACTTTTGAGTCGACTCAAAACGAGGTGACTTTTGAGTCGACTCAAAACGAGGTGACTTTTGAGTCGACTCAAAACGAGGTGACTTTTGAGTCAACTCAAAACGAGGTGACTTTTGAGTCGACTCAAAACGAGGTGACTTTTGAGTCGACTCAAAACGAGGTGACTTTTGAGTCGACTCAAAACTAGGTGACTTTTGAGTCGACTCAAAACGAGGTGACTTTTGAGTCGACTCAAAACGAGGTGACTTTTGAGTAGACTCAAAAGTCACGGCAGGCGCAGCTCCAGTGGCGCCCACCCAGCACGTCACCTATTCCCCACACCTACCCCACACGCACCTACCCCACTCATAACACCCCACGTGCCACCGTCAGGGCCAGCGGCTGATGATGATGGGCACAGCGGACGCAGCTCCAGTGGCGCCCGCCCCATATGTCCCTCACACCCACATACCCCTTCCCACATACCCGTTCCCACATACCACCCGCCCCGCATACCCTGCCCCACCCTGTATCACCATGCAGGGGCAGCGCCTGATGATGATGGGCACGGCAGACGCAGCTCCAGTGGCGCCCGCCCAGGCAGTCGTGTTCGTGGAGGACCTGCCCGAGGAGGAGCAGGAGGCCGCTGCACAGGTGAGAGTAGAGAGGGGATTTGTAGGAGGAGGAGTTGTGCGCTGCGCACAAAGGCTTGGATGATTTGCAGTGGCGGAAGGAGCACACGTGCAGCCCAGGCGGTGGTGTTCGTGGAGGACCTGCCCGAGGAGGAGCAGGAGGCCGCTGCTCAGGTGAGCATGGAAGAATGCCAAGCAGGTGGGAGGTAGTGTGGTGTGGGGGCCGCAGAAGGGATGAGGAGCGCCCACCCATGCGATGATGTTCCAGGAGGACCTACAAAGGAGGACCAGGAGGCTGCTGGGCTGGTGAGAGTAGCGGAGCTTGGGAGGCATCGCACCTTGTTGCATTGCTACGAGATAGCAGCGGCTCTGAATGCCGTGTGTGATTAGAGGGTTCCCCTCTTACGTGATCGCAGCCCTTGGATGCTATGAGCTTGATCGGCTCCCCTGCCTGCCTCATGTGCGCCTCCCTCCCTCCCTCCGTCCCTCCCTCCTTCCCTCCCTCCCTCCCTCCCTCCCTCCCTCCCTCCCTCCCTCCCTCCCTCCCTCCCTCCCTCCCTCCCTCCCTCCCTCCCTCCCTCCCTCTCTCCCTCCCTCCCTCCCTCCCTCCCTCTCTCCCTCCCTCTCTTTCTTCCCGCAACAGAAGGAGTGGTCAGCGGGGTTGGAGAATCTGGGCAACACGTGCTACATGAACGCCACGCTGCAGTGCCTCCACTCTGTGCCGCCCCTGCGCTCCGCCCTCTCCCAGTAAGTGCCCCTGCCCTCTCCGCCCCTCATCTCATCCTCGCTTCTCCCCGAACTGATTGCCCTTCACCTTATTCCGCCTGTGCGTCCATCCCATCCCATCCCATCCCATCCCATCCCATCCCACCCCACCGCACTCCACCGCAGGTACGCCCCATCGAGTGGCATAGAGGCGGACAGCTCGCACCGCCTGGCGCTGGCAGCGAGGGACCTCTTTGGGGAGCTAGACAAGTCCCGCCGCCCCGTCACTCCCCTGCGCTTCCTAATGGTGAATGCTTCTCTTCCCTTCCCCTTCCCATCCCTTTCCATCACCCCATTCCCTCCCTTCCACTCTCCGCCCTCCTCCTTTTCATCCCTCACCCTCCCCCTCACGTGCCCTCGTCCGCCGCGGCCTCACTTGCTCATGCCAGCCGTGCCAGTTGAATCGCGTGCCAGTTGAATCGCGTTTGAAGATGTTCAGGTTCGTGATGTAGATACAACCTTCGCGTGCCACCCCTACCTTAGAAGACGCCTCTTCTTATATGATTATATCACCTTCTTCCCCATAATCTAGAGCCATCTCTTTGCTCACCCTATCCCCGTCCTTTGTCGCCTCACCCTGTCTCCCCCCCCCTGTGGCACGCAGCTGCTAAGGCAGAGATTCCCGCAGTTCGCCCAGCAGGGAGAGCATGGTGCATACATGCAGCAGGTGAGGTCACATGGGAGCATGGCGCGTACATGCATCAGATGAGGTGACTTGAGAGCATGGCACATTCATGTACCGGCATGATATGCACAACCAGTGGCTGAAAGCCTCAGCGTCTTCCTTCACCTTTTCATTGCACATGCCATTCCTCCTGCCCTTTTCCGCTCCACCTCTTCTCCTTGTGGCTTGACCTTAACTCAACTCATGCGTGCGCTGTTCACCTTCATCTCCTTTGTCCTCCATCACCATCACATCACTCACACCCGTAACTCTGCGTCACCAACACATCACTCCCCGTAACTCCCCGTAACTCCCCGTTACCTCCTGCTCCTCATCACATGCAGGAGGCATCTGCATTGCTCGCTCTTCCACCACCACGACTTCTGAGTCGACTTAAGCGCCACCTTTCGCCTCCGTGACTCCCTAAAACCCTTTCTTCTGCGTCACCCCACCTCCTCTCAGCGCCTCTTTCTGATCCGACTCAGAAATCGTATCCCTTTCTCCTCTGTTACTCCCCTTCCCTTCTTCCTCTGTTACTCCCCTTCCCTTCCTCATCACCTACAGGATGCGGAGGAGTGTTGGACGCAGCTGCTCTTCTCGCTCGCCCAACGCCTCCGCAGCGTCAGGCAGCCGTGCGTGCTGCCCCTCCCTCCCGCCTCCCTCTTCTGTCCTCCGCCTCCCTTTTCTTGCTTCCCCTCCCCCTGCTGCCTTCTACCGATCTCTGCTCCCTTCGACCGCACTCTGCTCCCTTCCACTGGCCTCTGCTCCCTTGCACCGCTCTCTGCCCCTTTCCACCCAGCTCTTCATGATGACCTCTTCTGCAGTTTGCTTGCTTGCTGCTCCTGCGGTTATTTTATCATTCTTATTGTTCCTGAAGAAACCCCTTTCCTCCTTGCCCCCGCTGCCATATCCCTTCCTTTTCCTTTCGTTACTGACCCTGCCTGACTGTGCTTTGTCTCTGCCTTGTCATCCCCCTGCCACGTCAGCTCGCAAGCTGAGGTGGACAACATATTCGGGATTGAACTAGTCAGCAAGTGAGTTCACGTGCCTCCTTCCATCTCATGCATCATCCCATACCTTCCATCTCATGCATCATCCCATGCCTTCCATCTCATGCATCATCCCATGCCTTCCATCTCATGCATCATCCCATGCCTTCCATCTCATGCATCATCCCATGCCTTCCATCTCATGCATCATCCCATGCCTTCCATCTCATGCATCATCCCATGCCTTACCTCCTGCCAAAGCTGTGGTGAGTGCTGTTCGGCTGTTGCTGAGGGATCACTGCATACGCATGCGTGCTCCTCATGTGGCAACCGTCCTTGTGTCTCTGTCTGTGGATGCTGCCTCGTGCTCACCCCTCCCTGTGCTGCCTCGTGCTCACCCCTCCATGTGCTGCTGGTGAGGGTCACATCATGCTCTCACGTGCTCATCCATGTCCCCCCCTCTCCACGTCTTCACCACTCCCTGCATGGCATGCCACGTGCTCACCCCCACTTCCTCTGCTCCATGCTTCCCCCTGCTCACGGCCTCTTCCTGTGTGGCACACAGGGTGCGGTGTGCGGAGGGAGGGGAGGGCGCGGAGGGCAACGGGGAGGAGAGCGAGGAGAAGGAGACAGCGTTCATGCTGAAATGCCACATCAGCAGCGACGTTAACCTGTTGCATGAAGGCATCAAGAGGGTGAGTTACCCTCGCACTCCCCCTCTTCACCCCACCTCCTCTGCACCATATCAGCTGCGACGTCAGCTTGTTGCATGAAGGCATCAAGAGCGGGAGTCAAGGCATCAAGAGCGTGAGTCAAGGCATAAAGAGGGAGGGTCACCCTCGCATTCCTCCTTCTTCGCTCATCTTGCTGCATGAATGAAGGCATCAAGAGTGTGAGTGCCTTTCCCCTTCACTTCACCTTTCTCTCACAAAGAGCAAGGAGCGGAGAGATGGTGTTTGTGCCCAAGAGATGGTGTTCGTGCCCAAGAGATGGTGTTTGTGCCCAAGAGATGGTGTTTGTGCCCAAGAGATGGTGTTTGTGCCCAAGAGATGGTGTTTGTGCCCAAGAGATGGTGTTTGTGCCCAAGAGATGGTGTTTGTGCCCAAGAGATGGTGTTTATGCCCAAGAGATGGTGTTTGTGCCCAAGAGATGGTGTTTGTGCCCAAGAGATGGTGTTTGTGCCCAAGAGATGGTGTTTGTGCCCAAGTGATGGTGTTTGTGCCCAAGAGATGGTGTTTGTGCCCAAGAGATGGTGTTTGTGCCCAAGAGATGGTGTTTATGCCCAAGAGATGGTGTTTGTGCCCAAGAGATGGTGTTTATGCCCAAGAGATGGTGTTTGTGCCCAAGAGATGGTGTTTGTGCCCAAGAGATGGTGTTTGTGCCCAAGAGATGGTGTTTGTGCCCAAGAGATGGTGTTTGTGCCCAAGAGATGGTGTTTGTGCCCAAGAGATGGTGTTTGTGCCCAAGAGATGGTGTTTGTGCCCAAGAGATGGTGTTTGTGCCCAAGAGATGGTGTTTGTGCCCAAGAGATGGTGTTAATGCCCAAGAGATGGTGTTTATGCCCAAGAGATGGTGTTTGTGCCCAAGAGATGGTGTTTGTGCCCAAGAGATGGTGTTTGTGCCCAAGAGATGGTGTTTGTGCCCAAGAGATGGTGTTTGTGCCCAAGAGATGGTGTTTGTGCCCAAGAGATGGTGTTTGTGCTTAAGAGATGGTGTTTGTGCCCAAGTGCCACATTACGCAGCAGCGTCAAGCGTGTATGTCAGTTCACCCACCTCCATGCACTCCGCACCCCACCCCTCCCCTCCCGCCAGGGCCTAAGGACGGAGCTCGAGAAGGTATCGGCATCGCTCGGCCGCTCCGCTGTCTTTGCAAAGGAGTCTCTCATCGCCCGTCTTCCCCAGTGAGTCTCTCATCGCCCGTCTTCCGCAGTTAGTGATTTGTGAGGCGTCTCAAGGAGAGTCCCTTGGTGCCCGCATCCCTCAGTGGGTGTCTGTCTGCGTGTTTGGATTCCATGCTCATGCCTTCGTCCCGTCCCCAACTGCTGTAAACCCTCACCTGCCTCTTCTTCCAACATCAGTCATTCTGTGCTCGCTGTACTGTGTGTGCTTGAAGCCTGTCGTCTTGTGCGTCCACGGCGTGCCAATGCTGCTTTGCCTTCCCAGCCCTCTCTGTTTGCCCAACTCTCTGTTTGCCTAACTCTCTTCTTTCCCTCTCCCGCATCCCTCACTCCTCCCCCCCTCTCAAAGTTGAAATCAATTTCGGGAATTATTTTTTTTGGAATTCTCAAGAGTGATTCCTCGCTCCCTACTCCCCCCTTTCCTCACCGTGGCACTGCCCCCACCAGTTACCACACAGTGCAGTCCGTGCGTTTCTCCTGGAAGCGAGAGTGTCTGCGCATGCCACGCATTCAAACAAGCCTTTCTTGGCCTCTCCCACTGCTCCCCCCTCCCGCCCCTCCCCCCAGCTACCTCACGGTGCAGTTTGTGCGTTTCTTCTGGAAGCGCGAGTCGCAGCAGAAGGCCAAGATCCTCCGGGTCAGTACCTTGCCATGCCTTACCGTTCCTTACCGTACCTTACCGTTCCTTACCGTTCCTTACCGTACCTTACCGTTCCTTACCGTACCTTACCGTACCTTACCATGCCCCACCATACCAGACCTTACTGTGCCTTAACCCCCATGTATGCCTTGCCCCATGTGTTGTTCGTGTGTGACATGCATGCCCGGCCTCAAAACCAGACGTCTGTGAATCCTGCACACCCGAGATCAGAGCCAAGCTGCACGCGGCCCCCTCTCTGCTCCTCCTCCCTGCCTCTTCCGCCCTCTCTGCTCCTCCTCCCTGCCTCTTCCGCCCTCTCTGCTCCTCCTCCCTGCCTCTTCCGCCCTCTCTGCTCCTCCTCCCTGCCTCTTCCGCCCTCTCTGCTCCTCCTCCCTGCCTCTTCCGCCCTCTCTGCCCCTCCTTTCCTTTTCCTCTTCCCCCTCCCCTCCTCTCTGTTGTTACAGAGGGTGACGTACCCCCTCGTGTTGGACGTCTATGACTTCTGCACGCCAGAGCTCAGAGCGAAGCTGGATGGGCCCAGGAAAGTGAGTGCTACAAGCCGCGCCGATATCTTTCTAGAATTCAAACGAAATCTGCATGTCACATTGTTGAGGCGGTCTTCGAATCTGCATGTCACATTGTTGAGGCGGTCTTCGAATCTGCATGTCACATTGTTGAGGCGGTCTTCGAATCTGCATGTCACATTGTTGAGGCGGTCTTCGAATCTGCATGTCACATTGTTGAGGCGGTCTTCGAATCTGCATGTCACATTGTTGAGGCGGTCTTCGAATCTGCATGTCACATTGTTGAGGCGGTCTTCGAATCTGCATGTCACATTGTTGAGGCGGTCTTCGAATCTGCATGTCACATTGTTGAGGCGGTCTTCGAATCTGCATGTCACATTGTTGAGGCGGTCTTCGAATCTGCACGTCACATTGTTGAGGCGGTCTTCGAATCTGCATGTCACATTGTTGAGGCGGTCTTCGAATCTGCACGTCACATTGTTGAGGCGGTCTTCGAATCTGCATGTCACATTGTTGAGGCGGTCTTCGAATCTGCATGTCACATTGTTGAGGCGGTCTTCGAATCTGCATGTCACATTGTTGAGGCGGTCTTCGAATCTGCATGTCACATTGTTGAGGTGGTCTTCGAATCTGCACGTCACATTGTTGAGGCGGTCTTCGAATCTGCATGTCACATTGTTGAGGCGGTCTTCGAATCTGCACGTCACATTGTTGAGGCGGTCTTCGAATCTGCATGTGAGGCGGTCTTCGAATCTGCATGTCACATTGTTGAGGCGGTCTTCGAATCTGCATGTCACATTGTTGAGGCGGTCTTCGAATCTGCATGTCACATTGTTGAGGCGGTCTTCGAATCTGCACGTCACATTGTTGAGGCGGTCTTCGAATCTGCATGTCACATTGTTGAGGCGGTCTTCGAATCTGCACGTCACATTGTTGAGGCGGTCTTCGAATCTGCATGTCACATTGTTGAGGCGGTCTTCGAATCTGCATGTCACATTGTTGAGGCGGTCTTCGAATCTGCATGTCACATTGTTGAGGCGGTCTTCGAATCTGCATGTCACATTGTTGAGGCGGTCTTCGAATCTGCATGTCACATTGTTGAGGCGGTCTTCGAATCTGCATGTCACATTGTTGAGGCAGTCTTCGAATCGACTCAACAAGCGTCACTTTGTTTGTTGCTGCCGATGATGTGTTGTTGCCAGTGCAACAACAACACAACATGTTTCTTGCACAAAGGGTCATGTCTCGCTGTTGAATTACACATGGCTAGCTTTGCTCCGAGCTGCCTGGTGTCTCTCTTCCCATGGGTTTTTTTCTATCCAAAGAGCTCACCACAAGATATTTTAACCTGAATCGGGCCATCCACTCGACTCAAAACCTGAATCGGGCCATCCACTCGACTCAAAACCTGAATCGGGCCATCCACTCGACTCAAAACCTGAATCGGGCCATCCACTCGACTCAAAACCTGAATCGGGCCATCCACTCGACTCAAAACCTGAATCGGGCCATCCACTCGACTCAAAACCTGAATCGGGCCATCCACTCTCCATTTCAGTGCCTACCAGGGACACGTTGTATCTTCCTTGCATCATCCACTCAATCCCCTCCGCTCCGCCACCCTCATCCCATCCTTCCCTCTCTTCCCCCCTCTTTTTCCCCCTCTCCCCCCCTCCCCGCACTCTTCCCCCTTCCCCCCTCTCCCCAGCGCCTGCGCCTGGCGGATGACATAAAGGCAGGGCTGGTGGAGGGGGAGGCGCTTGTTGTGATACCCCGCTCCCCCATGCTGGGGTGCTTGCGACGTCTGCTTGGTGGTTCTAATCACACTCCTCCTTCCCTTTCCCCCTCACCCTCCTCCCTCTCCCGCCCCCCGTCCCCCCTCCCCCCCCAGCGCCTGCGCCTGGCGGATGACATCAAGGCGGGATTGGTTGAGGGCAAGGGGAAGGGCAAGGAGGGGGAGGCGGACGCGGGGGGGAAGGAGGGGGAGAAGATGGAGGTGGAAGGGGGCAGTGCGGCTAAGGGGCTGGGAGGGGCAGCGGAGGGGAGTGGGAGTGCGGAGGGGAAGACAGGGGGGGCGGCACAGGGAGCAGAGGCGAAGGGCGGAGCGGGGGAGGCAGGAGAGGGGAAGGAGGAGGGAGGGGGAGGAGCAGCAATGGATGTGGATGGGACTGCGACCGCACAGGTGAGGAGGAGGGAGGGATGAAGTGTCCATCTGGGCATGTGAGGAGGGATGGAGGGATGAAGGCTGTACTTGGAAAGGTGAGGGACAATGGAGTGTGACTTGTGGGATTGGGGTAGTGTTACAGAGGGGATTGTGGGATAGGAAGGACGGGAGGGCTATGAAGAAGAGCTGCAAGAGATAGGGGACAAGCAGAGGTGCAAAGGATGACTGAAGGGGTGGCCACTGAAGGAACCAGCAAGGCGGTTTGTGTGAGAGAAAGCTTGTCTCTTTTCTTTTCTGACTCATCCCACCCTACATTCATTCCTTCCCTGAATCATCCCACCCTACATTCATTCCTTCCCTGAATCATCCCACCTCCCTCTGCACTGCGCTCTCTCCTCGGACCCACCTTCACCATGCAGGCTTCTGATGCGACTGCCGCCACAGCCGCAGACAGCAAGGAGAGCGGAGAAGGTAGGGGCCATGACCATGGGCATCTGTCTCCATTAGGTAACAATTAGCTGCCACCTTGCCCGGTCTCCTGCTGTGCAGCCCACTGCTTCCTGTGGGGCCATGGGAGAAAGGGGTCCTTTTTCCCATACGTGCTATATGATTAAAATAATATTCTTGATTTTTTTAAAATAAATTCCCTTCTATCTGAATGTGGCGCATCCATCTGTTCCGTTCTTGCTAGTGCTGTGATCTCAAGGCGTTTTTGTGATCTCAAGGCGTTTGTGTGATCTCAAGGCGTTTGTGTGATCTCAAGGCGTTTGTGTGATCTCAAGGCGTTTGTGTGATCTCAAGGCGTTTGTGTGATCTCAAGGCGTTTTTGTGATCTCAAGGCGTTTTTGTTGCCCTTTACTCGCAGATCCTTTGAAACCTATGCAGCCGCCATACATTCCCTTATCTTCTCTCAGATTCCTCCTCCTCCTCCTCCTCCTCCTCCTCCTCCTCCTCCTCCTCCTCCTCCTCCTCCTCCTCCTCCTCCTCCTCCTCCTCCTCCTCCTCCTCCCCCTCCTCCTCCTCCTCCCCCTCCCCCCCGCCATCCCGCCCATCCCTCAACGCACCCACGGGGCTGTTCAACCTGGCGGCAGTGCTGAGCCACAACGGCAGGAGTGCGGCTTTGGTTTTGGGCAAGTGTGTGATCCTCTCAATTCCATTCATCTGTGCTGCTTCCTACCTCCCCCGCTCCTTACCGGTCCACCCATCCAAAGGGCTGTTCAGCTGTGCGGTCACACAAGGCCAGCAATGCGCACTGCGGGGCCTACGTGACCCTCCCGTCCCACTCACCGCTCTCCTTCCCCTCCCCCTCCTCCTTCCCAATAACGACCCCCTCCCACCCCACCCGTCCAGCCACAGGGCTGTTTGACCTGACGGCAGTGCTGACACACAAGGGCAGGAGCGCGGACTCAGGGCATTATGTGGCATGGGTTAAGCAGGAGAGTGGTATGTGGCATGAACAGTGTGGTACAGTGCGATATGTGGCATGAATGGCTGAAGAAGGAGAGTGGTATGTGGCATGAACAGTGTGTTTCCAACCTGTCCAAAGTTGCCGCATGTTTCGTCACTCTGTCCGGTCTCATCCCATCCCACCCCATCCCATATTTTATTCTTCCATGGCTCACCGCATCATACACCAATGATTTACGCTGCCCGATCATATCCATGCATTGTCCTGTTGGGACATGTTTCAACGCTAAGAATTTCCTGCCCAGTCCCTTTCATCCCAAGCACTCACTCATGCTGTCAGTAACTCCCTTGAAATTCTCACATATACGTTGCTTGTACCTTGTACCTTGTGTCATTCCCCACCACACTGCATGCCAACCTCCGTCGCCCTCCGTGTGCACGGCAGGCACTTGTGTCCCCTACCCTTCAACTCTCTCCCACCCTTCAACTCTCTCCCACCCTCTCTCCTTATCCCCCTCCTTCGCTCCCTTCTGCTTGCTTTCAGGCAAGTGAATCGAGTTCGATGACAAGCAGCCAATCATGCCCTGTACCCTCAAGGTCAAACCCCTTTCTTCCCTTTCCTAACCCTCCTCGTCCTTCTCTCCCCTGCAGGCAAGTGGATCGAGTTTGATGACGAGCAGCCCATCATGCGCAACGAGGAGGAGATCATCAACCTCGCAGGGGGAGGTGAGCAGTGTGCCTGCCACGTGCCTTGTGGTCACGTGTCCGGTTGTGTCACGCACGGTATAGTCACAATCAATCATGTGCAATGAGGAGGAGATCGTCAACCTCGCAGGCGGAGGTGAGCAGTGGGGTTGTTGCATGCCTTGTTATAGTCACGTGCCTTGTAGTCATATGCCTCATAATCACGTATACAGTCACAAATCATCGTTCTTATCACACTCAGTAGCTGCGCTGCTAGTTTCTGCCATGTGGCATCACACACCATGTGGCATCACACACCATGTGGCATCACACACCATGTGGCATCACACACCATGTGGCATCACACACCATGTGGCATCACACACCATGTGGCCAGATGCAGCTATTTACATGCTAAGCCTTTTCCACATCTACACTCTTCATCTCATGCCTCTCCCCCTTGCTACAGGTGACTGGCACATGGCATATATTCTGCTCTACAAGGCCCGCCTTGGATAGCCCTGCTTCTCCTCTCTTCTCTCGCTGAATCTTCACGGCCATTACTCCCCCTCTCTGGCTGGCTGGAGCACAGGTGGCAGAGGGTTGCAGGCAGCACAAGCCATGCTGTGTAGTACTGTACTGGGTCACATTGGCATGGATTGTGATTTGATGGTGATGGCATGTTATGGTTGCTGTATGGTTGCAAGTTTGGTTTCATTTCAACTACCGTACCTTGTCTGTCGGCAAGTCATCATGGATGTTAGTCAATAATGGTTGTGTATTTACGTCTCATTTGAAATGATTTGAAAATTCATATTGATTTGAGTTTCAGTCATCTTCCGAGTGGAAAGCAGCTGCCTTGTTTTAGAAATTTGCACCTGCTGCCAAACAGCTAGAACAGCTGCTCATCTCAAGCTGCACGTGAAATTACCGTAACTAAATTACTCAACTCAATATACAGGATTGTTCCAGGAAGCGCAGTACCAAAGCGCGCGCACGAAACCTGTGATGTTGAGAGTACCATATGCCACCCAGCCAGGGTATGAGGACTCATCAACAAGCTCCTCCGCTCTATCTGCTGGGAAGAAGCTGGATTACTGAAGTACCCCAACTGAGTGAGCTGAGCACAGATGTTGACCTGTCATGTGTAAGACTCAAGGGCACGTAGCTATGTCATCCGACACTATGTGGACTTCTCAAGCTCGGCTCTGAGCTGCTGAGAGAAGTCGTCGTTGACGTCATCATCGTCCCAGTCGTCCTCCCACTGGTGCACCACCTCCACGTCCTGCGCACTCTCGTCCCAGTCTGTGAGATGGAGGCGGGGGAAATGAGGAGAAGGAGAGGTGAGGGTGATGCAGGAAAGGGAGGAGAGGAGGAATGCAGAGTCATCCCCATTCGTCCTCCCACTGGTGCACCCCCTCCACGTCCTGTGCGGCCTCATCCCAATCTGAAACATAGAGGAGTGGGGGGCGAGAGAGGGCAGGGGAGAGGAAGGGGGGAACGGGGAAGGGGGTGGTGGAACGGGAGGGGTAAAAGTGCGCAACGTCATCCCAGCTGTCCTATTGTTGGTGGTGCACCACCACCCCCACGACCCGTGTGCGCTCGTCCCAATCCGCAGCATGGATGTGGGGAGCAGCATGGATGTGGGGAGCAGCATGGATGTGGGGAGCAGCATGGATGTGGGGAGCAGCATGGATGTGGGGAGCAGCATGGATGTGGGGAACAGCATGGATGTAGGGAGCAGCATGGATGTGGGGAACAGCATGGATGTGGGGAGCAGACTCCGCGCGCCACGAGAAGGTCAAGCGGGGATCACGTCACCCGTCCGAACACGGATATCACGCGGGATGCATATGCGAGGAAGCACCAGGTCCCAGCTGGCACGCATCAGAAGGACATATGGGGAGGTCACGCGGGACATTCGGAGTCATCAACGATAAGGGTGTCCGGAGGCACACGGAACACAGACGTCGCAACCGGACTATAGTGTCCTGGGAGGAACAATATTATTCTACGAACGCAGCGTTTCCAATTGTGAAGAGAAAACTGAAAATCATATCTACAGGCAACGGTTGACTGAAACACTCTCGCGTGAAATCAAGACGTCTCACCGCTTTTCGTGAATATGGTTGGTCCTAACTCACACCAATCAGCGTCATAGTACGCGGCCAGAACTATCTGGATAGGAAGGATCTTTACCGCAGAACCGAATCGCGAGACGTGATCTATAAACTCGTTCGCCCGTAAGACGCACCTTCATTTTCGAACTCCTCGAACTCGTCGTCGTCCTCGAAGACGTCCATCTTGACGTCCTCCGGCGTCTGCTTCGGCTCCGTCTGTCCCGCCATCTCCTCTCGCCAAAACTGTGCTTGATTGATCTAAGAACGACGGCAAAGTAACGCGGATGCACAGAAGGACAATCAACAATCGAACCTACGAGCCGAACTGACGACTATGCTTCGGTTCGACGCAGGAATGCGTTATCCGCGAGTTGTGGAGTTCAGATGCCTGGAGAGTGCTGCTTCGATGAAAGCCGGCTCACTTTCGTGAAACGCTAATAATGTACTTTATATCATGCGTTGAGGTATAAAGAAGCACTTTCCAGACTATGCCACAAACGGGCTTACACAAGTTGTTTTCTACAAATAAGATAGACAAGAAACACCTTATATCAGCAGAATTTGATTAATGTGTAATGAAATTTGCATCATGGAGAAAGTAAAAAAATGTCAAGGGTCAATATTAAATAATTTATTAGAAGTATATTAAAGGCAATTGGTGAGGTAAAATATTGAGGAGCACAAATTACCGACTTCTGATGTACCGTAAGTTGATGCATTTATTAATTTGCCATTGACAATTTGTAACTCGGCGGCTGGTGACCATCCCTAGTAGAAATGGTGTTATGAGTTATACGAACGAAGAGTGCGCAGTATTCAATAATGCGGAAGTGATTACAACTACTGAGCAAACAACGAGGCCTAGGCAATATATAGCAAAGCTAGCTAGGCCGAGGTCGCGGAGTCGCACAAAGGTTGGGTGCAGGTTTGGGTTTGGAAAACCCGGAGGCGATGCGGAGGACGTTCGGAAGGCGAGGTCGACGGACCGAGCCTGAATTCCGAAAAGTTGGAATTTGTACGCGTAAGAGATGCCTTAGTAAGGAATTAGCAAAATTCCTTACACTACCCCCCCACCAGGCCCTCAGATTCGTTTTTGGCCTGTTTGATTCGTCAGACTCTCTCTTAGTATTAGTCTGAAATCCTCAAAGTTGTCTAAAAAAAAGTCTGAAAGGTCAGAGTGTGTTTTAAAAAAAGTATGAAACTTTCAGAGTACACTCAAGTAAAAGTCTGATTGTGCTTGTTGTAGCCCTAGAAGTCATATTGAAGCAAGCCTACTCCACTTCTCATACAACTTTGCCTACATTCATATTACTACAACTACTAATACTACTATTGCTGCTGCTTAGCCCTCACAAGATCACAGTTAGAATAGAACTAACTAACTAACTACCCTACCTACATCCAGTCAGGAAATCCATCGTCATCATCATTGTCAACTGCATCTTTCTCAGCGTCTAAGTCTACCACTTCCATCTCGTGATCAACCTCCCTACTCTTCTTGCTCTGTTGCCTTCCTGCAGGCGGGAGTGGAGCGTTGCTTTGGGGCTTGCGCTTCTTGTAGCTCCTCCAGATGGTCACAATTTCATCCCACTTGGGCTCGTAGTCCATGAGACTCATGCACATGAGGTCTCCTAGGCGTGCATCTTTCAGCGCGCCTCTCTGCCACGACTTGATGATGTTCTGGCGAGAGAATCCCCGCTCGTACTCCACTGTGCTTAGCGGCAGTACGGCTACTGCCACCCACAGAAGCAGAAGGTTGGGGTAGTTGTCCCGCCAGTCGGGTGTCTTGAGCATGGCAGTGAGCCAAGCGTGGAAGCTGCGTTCGTTCTTTGTGGCTCCTGCAAGCACCGAGGAGAACATGCGCAGCTCCTTTTCCGCACGACGCTTGTTGATTCCTGGTGGGGGAGGAAGAGTAACAGTAGACGATGCTTAGTGAATATACAGTGAAACACAACATATGCAATGCCAATTATAACACTTACATGAGAACTACACAAACATGGGCTTACCGTGCAGGATCTTCTCGGTCTGGTCGGCCTTGAAAAGGGTCACTAGCAACTCCAGCCACTCCATGCACCTGCGGTTCCTCTCTCCTCGATCCAGCGGGTACTTGTCAAGGGTGAATAGCCTTGCCCCAGACATCCCTTCCAGATCGCCAAGCCGATGAAGAAGTTGGTGCACGACCACCTCGTCAAACTGGGTGCAGACCTCAATGCAAGCATCGTGGGTCCCAGGCCCATCAAATTCCTCTTGCTCGTCCTCATGCAGCCTCAAGGTGAAGCGTGCAGGGTGGCCGTCCGAGTCGACACCCTCAAAAGTAACTTCCTTGTTTCCTCCTGGGCTGTGGTGTCAGAATTATGTTTTTATAACTGCATGTAGTTCTAGCTGTAGTGTAGTTATTAAATTTGTAGGTGGTGCACCTCTTCATTTGTTTGCTATATGTACCCTTGTGCTAAGTGAACATTTATCACTTTCCTTTCCAACTTCTCGACTCTCTCACCCGAGGCAAGAACCACTCGACATCCTACCTCGGGCCTAGGCTCCTAAGCCTAGGCCCTAGTCAAACTTAGTTCATTCTCGTTCAACTATTTTCGATATGGTATCAAAGCGCGTTACGACTTGGCCTGTGGGCCTGCCTCATGCTTCCGCTGCTACTTCTTTTTTCCGGTCGCGCGCCTAGGGCGCGTGGCGATTTTCCCTTGTCCCGCCCCCGGTTGGCGTGTGACTCCTTATCTGCCCGTCGTGCGCCCCGTGGCACGCGACGGTGCCCTAGACCTGCCCGTCGTGCGCCCCGTGGCACGCGACGGTGCCCTGCTCGTCGTGTGCCCCGAGGCACACGATCGGGCTCTACACTTACTCTTACCAGTCGTGCGCCCCGTGGCACGCGACGGGCCTCTCCGCACCCGCTCTCCATTCAGCCGCCCCTGAGCTACCTGCGCCGACACATTGTAGCCGCTCTGCGGCTTTCTTCCCGCCCACCCCCTCCTCCTTTGTCTCCCTGCAGCCGTGGGGGGGAGGGTATGGGGGTGGCGGGTGTTGGAGTGTTGGTTCGTTCACTTCCCTTCCCCTCCTCCTCCTTTCGTTCCCACTGCTGCAGCTGCCGCTGGGGGGGAGGGTGTGAGGGTGTGGGGGAGCAGGGGGAGTGGCACCGGGGTGGCGGGTGTGAGGCAACCAGCAGCCGTCCCTCCAACTCTCCTCTCTTCCCCCCCTCTCTGCTGCTCCTGCAGCAGTGTGGGGGAGGGGAAGGAGGAGGGTGAGGAGATGGAGGGGGTAACCATTCAAAGTTAGCCCGCCTGCAGTACCTGCTGTTGCTTGTTTATTATTCTGTGGTGTACCTCTGCAGGTTGTGCTCTGCACTTAGCTATTCCTGCATGCAGTTACGGGGGGATGTCAGAATTA